AACATAAATTTGCCACTAGGTAAAGGATATAGGACTTATGGAATATGAGATTAAATTGAACAAATTTGCATATATCAACATGGAGATTGATTAAAAATAATATTTTCTTCACATTATTAAATTATTAGAAAATATACTAATGATAGAATTTATTGAATTGTATAAGATTTCAAGTTTTTTTCCAAAAATCTTTATCAATTAATGATAAACCTTGAAGACTGACCATAAATTCTTATAGCAGCTTATGTTGCTGGAGCTTTGAGTTAGTTATTATCTGGAGCTATACCTACTAGAAAACCCTGCCCAATCTCCTTGCTGCCCAATCAAAATGGGTACATTTGGAATTCCATGCTCAGACCATTCTCTGAGATGCCCTTAACAAGCTTCTTATAATCAGAGGCTTTGTGACTTTGGATGTTGACATCTTGAGTTGGACATGTTGGACACACTGGTTGGACACTTCTGATACTCCAGATGATCAATATATCATGGCATAGCTATGAACATTTGTGGTATACTAGTTGGAACGTTCAGCTCTTAGCTTGTCTTAGTATTTTTCTAGAATTTTCTACCAGTACATACTTAACTTGTTGTACTGACCTACCTCACTAAAGCATAACATTCATGAGAACAGATCTTTAACTTTAAAAATCTCTGTTGTGTTCCCAGTGCCTTGCAAATAAATGTCACAAAGTGAGCATTTCATGTGCATTCATTGGATAAATGACTACACTCTAACATCCATGACAGTTGTTTTAATTTTTCTTTTCATCTTTAACACCTATTCTTTGTACCAAGCTCATTGTAGGTATTCAGGAGTAAACAATACCCAAGATTATAAAGGTTTTTACAGGAATGTTAGAGACTGTAGACTATTACTTAAAAGCATTAAGAAGCCATGGAAATGTTATAATTGTAAATAAATATTATTACACTTTCATTTTAGAAAATAAAGTTCTTGTTTTATGTTTCTCTAAGTAGTGACACGTCTGTACTTATACTCATCCAATCTCAAATTCTTAAATTAATATTACACTCTTTCCCCTTCTCCTTAATTCCTAATAATTTGTGACAACCTGACAATTTAATTTCAGCAAAATATATCCATCTCATCCTTCATTCCCATTTTAATTAGGGCCTTGGACCTTACTTCCCACCTTATTAGGGCCTTGTTCAATCAGAATGGGCAGCTGTAGTTGTTAAACTCATATCCTTGCCTTTGATATATTCTTCATCTAAAGTGTCTATATGCTTTATAGCCATTTAATTGTACAGCATTAGTCATCTCATTTTTCTAAACAAATATTTGCAATGGCTCATCTCTGATAAAAGATAAATTCTGCTGGGCATAGTGGAACTACATATCTGTAATCCCATAGACTCAGGAGGCTGAGACAGGAGAATCACAAGTTCAAAGTCAGCCTCAGCAACTTACCAAGACCCCAAGAACCTTAATGGGACCATATCTCAAAAAATAAAGAAAGGATGGGGGATGCGACTTAGTGATTATGTATCCCTGGGTTCAATTGCTAGGACAAAATATGTACATATATACATACATATTCCTAGTTGTCTATTTCAAAAAGTACAATGTGACTTATTATTTTGAGTGCTCATAAACTATGATATTAATCTTCTTGTGAGATAAGCAAAGACTGCCCCTCCCGTTTTTTTAAAAAAGTAACTTCAAACTTAAGGAAACATTGCAAAATTACGACAAAAATTTCACATTCTTCAACCAAATGTACCTAAAGTTAAATGTCCTCACATTTGCTTTGTCATTTTCTCTGTAGATATTTCTGAATCATCTATGAATATATTGTAACCACTGTATATTTTTACTCCAAAATATTTCCTTATACATTCCTTAAGATCAAGCATTTTCTCATAGATAGTATAGTAAATTTATCAACATTAGGGCATTTAATGCTGATATAAAACTATTTATAGTTTATAACAAATTAAATATAAATCATTAAAATATAGAATAATATTTGCAAATTGTACTAATAGTGTCCTTTATAGCTATTTTCCCCCAAGTTCAGTATCTATTTCTGTATTACACATTGTAGTTAGTAGTTCTTCTCATATTTTTAATCACCTCCAGTCTAGAGTAGCTCCTCGGCTTTTCCTTGATTTTTATCACAGTGACATTTTTAAAAGTACAGACAAGATATGTTGTAGAATTCCCCTTAATTTGGGTTTCTCTTTACTTCCTCAGAATTATATTCTACTACACATTTTGGGGGTTCTGGAACACTAAGTAATATGGCCTACTTTTCAGTATTTCAATCATTAATGTTCGTCTCATTGTTGGTGATTTTCACGACTTAAAGTGATGTTTACAAGATTTACTGACTGCAAGTAATTTGTTATTCTCCTGTAGTTTAGACTCCATGGTAGATCATAGTAGATTAAAAAAGGGCCACAAGTGCCTGTCAAGACATAGATGACCCAAACTGAGCCAGCCAGGACAGAAAACTTATTTGAAAACCTGCAGATTTTCAGACATTGTAGATGTTTACTGATTTAGACTAATGTGTTTTGAGATGGTGTGTTATTCAGCAAAATCTAATAATTTCCAGGGAGACACTTTGGTGCTATATAAATACCCAGTTACACATATAACTTATGCCACTGAAGTTAAATATCACTACAAAGATTGAAAATGGGATAGCTCCATTTTACTGAGATGAAGAACGTAAGGATGGGGCTCATATGACTTCTGAGGACATACGACTGATAAATGGATGTGCCAGAATTAGAACTCCAAACTTTTGCTTGCTGGCCCATAGCTTTTCTTAACATGCCACATAGAGGTAAGTGATTTTACAGCAGAACTGGAAGTCATAAGCTAAATAAATTGAAATTCCCAAGATTTGTGGTGTTATGAGTGAGATCCTATGCCCTCACACATGCATTAAAGCACCTGTTATGGTCTGGATGTAAGATGTCCCCCAAAAGCACATATGTGAGACAATGCAAGGTTTGGAGGATAAATGATTAAGCTATAGCCTTAACTTAATTAGTGAATTAATCCCTGAAGGGATTAATTGAGAGGTAACTGGAGATACATGGGATGTGGCTGGAGGAATTGGTTCATTGTGGGTGTGGCTATGGGGTATATATTTTGTATTTGAAGAGTGGAGTCACTCTCTCTCTGCTTCCTGATCATCAAGTGAGCTGCTTCCCTCTGCCTCAATCTTCCACCATGATATCCTGCCTAACCTTGAGCTCTGAGAAATGGAGCCAGCCATTTATGGACTGAGGCCTCTGAAACTGTCAGCCCTTAAAGAAAACTTTTCTCCTCTACAGTTGTTCTGGACTGGTCCTTTAGTCACAGTGGTGAAAAAGTTGGCTAAGACAGCACCTCTGGTACATGTTTCATAAATATTAATGTTTGTTTTGCTTTTGAGTCAGGGTTTCATTTTGCTGCCCAGTATAATTTGGAACTCTGGGACTAAAGATGCCTCTGTATTCCAAATAGGTGTGACCCCATAGATGTCCTGCTGATGTTCCATAATCCATGGTAGTATAGGAGAGGCAGAAGAGACGATGTGGGAAGAGACATTAAATGTCGTTAGTATACCTATTTAAATTAATAATTGATTCACAAAAAGATATAAAGCCAACATTTCTAGACATTGCCTTTACTTAATATAATCAAGATGATCATGAACATACTCCTTGGAGATAGTATCAAGTTTGTACAAAATAGTTCTTAATACTTTTGAAGTAGCTGTTATATCCCCTTCCAACTCTGCAAAATAAACCATAAGTCACATGACAAGACACTGTGAAAAGAAGAAAGGTTCTTTGTCACTCCTTACAAATAAGGAAACAGACTGAAAAAAGTCATGGGCCAAAACTAACCAAGAGCCAACAGTGAATAAATGAGAAAGCAGAGATTTGAACAAAGCAATCCCAATTTCCTAAAAGAGTTCCTCCTAATGGCATTGGGCATTAGTCCTAAGTCTTCCAAATATTAACAGTACCTGAATCTTAAACCTGCTGGTCCATAGCTTTTCTCAACATGCCATACAGAGCTAAGTGATCTCATAGCAGAAATGGAATTCATAAGCTAAATAAATAGAAATTTCCAAGATTCCTGGTCTTATGATGTATGACAATCCTTCCTTACATTTAATTTAATAGCATTTAGTACGCTGAATTTGCTGCTATGCTACACATTAAAACATGCAAGCGTTCAGGTACTTAGATATGTATACCAGTCTGTGTTAACTATCGCACCTTCCTCACTGAGAAAGGAATTCAAAGCCCCACTTTTTTCTTTACCTCAACCTAAAATATTTAAGAGTACACCGAAGTGCTCTGCGTTTCCAGTGCTCTTATAGAACATTCGGTGGCAGTAGCAGCTAAGGATGCCAAACAGGGGAAAAAAAAAAAAAAAATCCAGGTGAATCCTGTCAGAGTGCATGATCCATGATGGACAAGAGGTCAAGTCTTTTCGTCTTTTCAGTTTGTACATGAGAGCCCAAACCTTAAGTTTCTCCTAGCATCACTCTACCGCAGAGCCCATGGCAAGGGTGGGGTTGCTGGAACTTCCCCTAGCTCCCCACTAAGAGGCTCGCTGGCGCATTGGGCGAAGGCAGTGTGTGCAAGCCGGATTTTGCACCCTTTGGCCTCAGAGTGGTCGGGGGTCGCCAGGCTCTCTCCAGCACGACAAGCTGACCCCACAGTCGCTCTTGGGGGCCGTGCCTGCCAAGTATCGCGGGACTTGTGCACATCGCAGGAGCGGCAGCTCCAGGAGCAGCTGGAGCGCGCTTGGTGCGCACTGCCTCAGCTCGGGGAGGAGCAGGAGCCAGGAGGGAGGAGGGCTGGGGGTGCTGGTTACGTAAATGATACTAGCCCAGTGAGAGGCCTCTGGGCTGGGGCTACGAGAGGGGGAGGGACCGCGCGAGGAGGAGGGGCTGGGAGGAGACGGCGGGCTGGGGTGGGAGGGGGGCGGGGGCCGGGGCGAAGTGACCAGGCGGCGGCTGTGGCTCTGCCGAGGTGACAATGTGCTAGGAGTCCTCACTCGGTCTTCGTGCCTCCTCGGCCTTGGCGCCCGCTCTGGGCGCGCTCGCGGAGTCCTACCGCCCGCCGTTGCGCTATGAGGGCGCCTCTCTGGGGCTGGCCGAGGCCGGAGCCGGCTTGCACGGTTTGAGAGGAAGTGTGAAAAGAGCGCGGGCGGGAGCTGGGGCTGCGCACCGAGCGGCACTCTCGGGCCAGCGCGGTATCCAGGTGAGCGCCGGCTTGGTGAGCAGTGTACTCGGTGCAGCTGGTCGGCGCCTGCCGGGCTTGATCGGAGGCTGAATCCAGAGCGTGGACCGCCCTTCTCTCTTCGTGGGATCCTTGGCCACGATAGCAGGTCTCCGTCTCTCTCTTTCGCTCCCTCTCTTCGTGACAGTCTGGGACGAGCCCCCTCCGTCTGCCGGAGTGCCGGAGCTGGGTGCCTCAAAGTCTGCCAGCGAGTGCCAGGAGGGTACGGAGCAGAACCCAGGGCAGGGGAAAGGGCGCGGGCGGACCTGGCGAGGCGGTCTCCTGGGATCTAGGAGTACGCTTGCTCGAGGCTGCAGGTGCTGCGGGAGAATCCAGAGGCTCGGAACTTTCTGTCTCTACCCTCCCTTAGCTGGGCTTTTTTCCGCTACACCGCCGAGCTGAGGTGGTTGGGGTCCCCCATCTGCTCCCTGGCGGCGTTCAGCAGCGGGGGCAGATCGGTCTCCTGGTTCGGACAACTTTCTCCCACCAGCTGCGGGAAGCTCAGGTTTGAGGTGCCTACATTGTTTCTCCATCGGACACCCGGCACACTCTGGTTCCTGAGTGTCTCTCTGGACGTCAGCCTGCCTCGTTTTCTGCCTCTCTTTACCTCTTTCAGTGCTCAGACACCTCTCATTCTTTCCGTGTGTGTCTCTCTCACTCAGTTTCTGTCTGTCAGACTCTGGTTTTTGATACCTTCTGCACTCAGACCTGTATCTGTTTTTCTTTCGTTCTGTTTCCCCTTGTCGTTCTTGGGATAGCTTTGTGTTTCTGTAATTCTCTTTGCATGTCTCTCCGTCTTGCAGCATTTTTTTTTTCTCTATTTCTGCTTCTCGCTGCCCATCTCTGTCTTACTACTCTGTCGTCCCCTTTCCCCCAAATCCTGAAGCGTTTGGTCAGGGGAGCACTCATCTTCTGGGCACTTCCAGGTGCTGAGACCTCTGATCTGGGCCCGGGAGGACACAGGTTGGAGGCAGTTTGCCCTTGTCAAAGCTGTCAGAGCTGAATGAGGAGCTCAAGGGGCAAAGTGGAGGGCGTCGGACTAGCTTCCCTACCCAGGGTTGGAGGGCCCTGTGCTGCTGGGAACCCAAGTGCACTGATGCTGCTGGTTCGGACTAGAAAACTGCATAAGCCCCTCTTGCTGTACCCCTCACTTTTTTTTTTTTGACTAAGGTGAGTTGAATTTCCAGGGGGAGAGTCTACATCTCCAGCTTTAGAGGCAGCTGCAGGAGAAGAGTTAGTGTGGGCAGACATAGAACATTTGGGGTTCAGGGAAAACTAATTTCAAAGGGTAAGAGCCTTCCTGAAGCAAAGGGGTTACTAGCAGCTGAGCGGAGCTTTGGGGACCAAGCAGGCATGCCTGAATTAAATTGCCTTCCACTCATTGAGTTTTTAGGAGAGCAATGAACCTGAGAGAGATCATCGTCAGGCTTACCAGAAATTTTATTTGCCTTGCTGAAGGTACTTGCTGACCCTAATGCCTTGAAATTTCAGGTTTCTTTGCGGTTTCCAAAAATTCCAGCTTTATGTGAAATATGCCTTTGCTTAGGTCTCCTCTCTCTCCACCAGCCCCAAGTCTTCCCTTTTCTTGGCTTGTTTGCTTTCATGCCCTCTAGTGTTAAAGAAACCTGCTGGCTGAGAATACTGAAAAGTAAGGTCGACCTATTGATGATTTACTTTGGACTTCTCACCTTCTTTTTTTTTCTTTTTTCTTCTGTTACTCATGTCCTCTCTTTTTCCTGACCAACTTTTGCATTGCATTATTAATCTTTCCTTTCCCCTGATCGCTACAAATGCCTCCTTTCCTGCAGAAGTAGAACCTTCATATGGGAACCCTGTTTGTTTGACTTCATAGGTAGATAGATGTGGAGAATTTTCATAGCCTAAGGCAGACTTTGAACATAAAACATGCATTCCTCTGTGTCATTTGCCATAAACCAGGATTTCACATCTCTTTCTTATGACCCTGCCCACTTTCAACTCCATTGAGAATTTCCCTGGCTGTTCCTGCTTGTTCAAATAAATGCTTTTAATTCACCATTTCTATGATGTTCATCCCATTCCAGGGCTTATGCTACTTGCTTAAATAGGGGCACTGTGTTTCAGATCAGGTTTGGAGAGAGGAAAAGAAAGCTTTTTTCAAAGGAATTATAGGATGTTGCTGGTGTAGATTAATTCTGGATCAGAAAGTCTAGAGTAGAAAGAACCAGATGCTGCCTCTGATATGCAGACCCTAGGGTAATGTGGGAAAGCCAGTATGTGTTTAATGAAAACTTGTTGGTTGATTGATTAGCATGCAGCTGATTATAGACTTCCAAGTCACCCAGTTATGCTAATGAGCCTATACACTTGAAGTTGAATTCTACCTCCCCCCCCCTCTTTTTTTTTTCTGTTTCATTTAGGCTTCTATGAATAGGAATTGAAGACGAGTAAAAGATAGGTTGAAATAGAAGTTATGCTTCTTTCCAACTCATCTCATTGCTTGAGTTTTCTCCTCTTTGCAACTCTTTAACTTGACTGGTATTTTTTTTTTTTTAAGAAATGAATTTAGAGGCTCTTATAGGTAGCATCTCTCAGCCTTCATACCTAAAGTAAATTGAGATATAACATCATACTGGGGTGAATATTTTTTGTTTGACTTTTAACAGGTGAAAAGTTCTCTTTTTAATGAAAAGAATAGATGTATCAGTTTAAAATTTTGAGGATTATAAATTGAATCACCTTAAATAATTTGTAGATTCTTTTACTACTTGAAATACTTATCAGTGGTGTGATACCTAATGCATATACAAATTTGCTGAAATTCCTGGAAACACAGTGCCTCCTCATTCGATGTTTTAGTAGTGATCCATGGGCTGCTGTATTTCTTTTTTGTTGATATGTTAGCCACCTCTTAAAACAGTTGGGGACTTACCATGAGTATTGTGCAGGAGGACATTCAAGGCAATTTGCCTTTAAAAGGATTACTTGCAAATTATTTAGTATTCTCTCCTTCCCAATTTTTTGTATTTAAAAATAGCAAGGAGAATCAAACTAGGAATTCTGATATTGGGTGAGATGACTTCTAATTTCTTACTGATTTAACATACATATTTAACTTTTTAATTAATGTGCATCCATTTTAGGTTAAACAGTAATATCAAAATGAAATAAATTTCTATCATGCAGACTTGATTATTAACAGTGATAGTTGTAACATGTAGTAAAGATTGTGGGCTTACAAAACCTTTGGTGTTTTAGGAAGAATAAAAGAGAAAAAGTAAAAAAAATGAATAAAAAGGATATTTTTGTTCTTGTTAATTGGAAAATGAATAGAACAAAACAATTCAGAGTAAAACTTGAGCAGAATTAACACCTACCATGTAAAATGACTGCAAAGCTACATGTTTTTCATAAGTATTCTTTGCACTTTATGAAAGTAGACAATTTTAGTAGTTGTGTCCTTTAAATTAATTTGCCTGATTAGCCATCATATTCTCAAGTGACAACCCTTGAACTAAACAACACATTGTTAACTGTAACTTTTAATACATCACCTTTCTGGGGTCCCTCCCATCAGAACCATGTAGATATATGAAATGGGTTCTAACAGGATCACTACTTTGAGGTCTTAATGACCATATGTGTACTTATCTGAGGATTTTAACCAGGCATTGGTTTTACACTCATCCTTCTACTTTTATAATCAGATTTACACATGTGAAACACCAAATCGAGACCTAAATATATGTACTCATATTGACTCAAGAATTGTCTTTGATGATTTTTTTAAGGCTACCACCTTCCCCAAACAATGCATTTAGACACCCCCTACCCCCACCACCAGGCATATGTTTGAAACCACAAACTACATTTAAAGATCTGGCACTGCCTGCTTTAATAAACCATGTTTTTTTTTTTTTTTTTTTTTTCCTTTTTCATTTCAACAGATTAGATTTCTATTTACAATTTCTACCTTAAGATATGTTGTTTAATTAAGAACTTTTGCCACTCAGTAACCAGCATACATGTTTTTGAAGAATCTGGCCTTCCAGTGTGAAATTTCATACTTAGAGAATTCAAGGACATTTATGAAAATGAATGCACATTAATTCAGTCATAGTTGGCCATCTATTTGGAGCATTATAAGTACTTATCTTTGAGAGCAGCAGTATAAACCATGGACTTTATTTATTTGATATTTGTTTCTTTTTGATTCATATTTAGGCCTATGTCTGTTTTCAGTGCAGTATATTTATAATAACATATTTAATTGGTCTTACTTTGATTACTAAAAAATGATTGCAGATGCATGATTCTGACTGTGTCCCTAAATTCATTTTGGCTGAGTTTTCTGGGTTTAATTTCTTAGTATATCTTGGGACGTATTTATTTAAGTAGATGATTTTTACCTTTTAAAATTTATTGAGAGGTTGATGGGGTTTAAAATTCAAATTATAAATTAATGTAGGGATACATTATTTTCCCCCAAGGGCCCAAGTTTGCAAAAATATCCATATGATTATAGTCTTCCCAAACTATCAGGTTCTTTCTTAATGTCTACCCTATTAAAATCTCCTACCCTTCACAATTCATTTACAAGATTCAAAACATCACTTGTTTGAAGTAGTGCCATGTTAATGGTTAATCATCCCAAGATCTTGAGAGTGATATAGGAAGAGTAGTGATTTTCATGGAGGTGATCATATTTGTGGTTACTTTATGTGGTACGTGATTTAATTTGACATACTGGCCATATTAATTGCTCAGATTTCTTCTGTATTTTTTATTAAAGAAGTGCTTATTGTTAACATAGATGGGAGCTGTCCAAGGTGTATCATATCAGGGTTTTAACTTGATGGGGGATTAATTGGGATTCTGTTTCATGCACTACATTACATTGAATTGTTGCTTAAATCTTATTTAAGCTCTTGCAGAACATTACAGGGAGAGTGTGATTAAACTGTTTGTTGGCACTTTGGTGTGCATGATACATGTGGCGGGTATCCACTGTAAACAGAGAGAATTTAAAGCACAGCCTGCTCAATCAAAAAATTGCCCAAACTACACCACAGAGATAGTTGTAAATGTCAACTTAGCCTCTTGCCTTATATTAATTGCCTTGATTTTATA